TGATTTTTAGAAGTAGTTCCTACCATCAGTTTGTCAGAGAGGATGCATGATTATTATTGCAAACCTTTATAGAACTCCAGGCACCTTCATGGGGTTTATGGAGCTTTGTTTATATGCAGATCTTGCCCTAAGGAGCTTACAATCCACTGGAAAGATGGAGAAACGTGGATGTGATAAGAGCAATGACTGACAGACTCCACAGACTGAAAAATAACCATAAATGTAAGACACATATTACAAAATAAGTTAATGGGGATGGCAAGGGTAGTATAAAGTACTGGATAAATCCAGCTTCCTGAAGGAGACAAAGATCTGGAAAATTCAAGGTACAAACAATGGAGTTGAGAAAACCAGGAATCCAAAAAAGACACTCCCTAACTACTGCCTCTTCGCAGCTGGGCAGAACTGCAAAACATGGGGATACATGAAGAACCTGAGGATAGAGACAACAGGAAACAACTTTTCAGTTCTCTTTAGCACCTCTGAGCACTAGTTGACTCGGACTGCGACAAGGTTACTAAACTTAAATACCTTAAGAGCTGTCCTGGGCGCCTGGGTGGCTCAGTTGGTTAAGCGACTGCCTTCGGCTCAGGTCATGATCCCGGAGTCCTGGGATCGAGTCCCACATTGGGCTCCCGGCTCAGCGGGGAGCCTGCTTCTCCCTCTGACCCTGTCCCCTCTCATGCTGTTTCTCTCTCTCTCAAATAAAATCTTTAAAAAAAAAAAAGAGCTGTCCTATAACCATCCTAAATGGGTTCAAAGGAGGCGAAAAGGAAGTAACAACCAGTTTCTATGAACCAGTTATGTAGTTACAAAAGTGGGACACCCTGAAGACTGCACTGGGAGCTAACAGATTTGAGGCAGAATGTTAACTTTTATGGAGAGAGCACAGTGGCAGTACAAAGGGAACTGGTTGGAAGTAGAAAATACCCATAATAGTTAAGTTTTACCTTAATGAGCTGAACAAGGGGACAACTTGTAAAAAACAAAAACAAAGTATGGTATGGCAGGAGAAAATAAGCCTATGTTGATTCCTTCCCAATCCCACAATTATGAGCCAAAATGGGGAAGGTTTTTTTTGAGATAAGAAAAATACCCTCCTAAGCTGAGTCCAAGAGTTGGAAATAGCATTGATTAGTATGTGTAAGAGAGTAAAAAGGTTTATGTGTACAAAGGATGGGGGAAAGGTGGCTCACAAGGCTCCCAAGACAGAGGAATGAAGACAGGATGCTGAATGAATTATCCGGAAGGGAGGTAACTGGAGATTGAGAGCATCATAAAAAGGATATAGATTTAAGCAGATTATTAAATATACTTTTTTTGATTAGACATTTGTAACTGTTGTTTGGAGTAAAAATAGGTAAGGAAATCTCAGGTAAAGTTAGAGTAACAAGGGATCCTTCAGTTATACAAAACAGAAGTATGATCTGGGCAGGGAAAATAGGATTCACGCCTTCTAGAGTTAACAGAAAAACGAAAGTGGAAAAGATTGTAAAAAATTTCTTCATTAATAAAACTGGAAGAACTGATGGTCTGGAAAAGCTAAGTAATCTGAAGTAGGCAGCATATTTAGAGCTGTAACATACAAAATTTTGGAGAGAAGGCAGAAACTGATGCAAAAATATAAGCAATGATGGAGAGTAGTGCAGTGTTCTGCTAAGAGGTAAATCAGAAAGAATCTTTCAGCTGTCCTTATTCACAAGTTACCGTCATTTTTATAAACAGTACAACATGGATATTCTGAACCAAATTTGTCACCTAAGGGGCCTGAATTTAAAGGGAATATTAAAAATTAATGGAACTGCTAGGTTAAGTCTTAGGGAAAAATACTAAATCTTTCTTGTACATTGTTGCTGTGCTAGTTAATATATAATTTGATACTACAGTCAGTCCAGTTGCTTCTGGTCACACCGGAATACAGACTTGACAAATCTTCATTTTTAAAGTCTTCCTTCAATTTAGGAATTTGGATTATAATAAGGCTGTCAATGTGCACCTTGATTTTGCTTAAAGGGATCTATAACTTTTATTACCCTACTTCTATTTTTAAAAACATTATTTAGTGTGCTTATTTTTTTTAGAGGTTTGTAGATAAACTTTTAATTTTTTAAAGTATGGGTTATTTAAAAAGGATTTTATCTATTTGTCAGAGAGAGAGCACACAAGCAGGGGGAGAGGCAAGGAGCCCAACACAGGACTCGATCCCAGGACTCCGGGATCATGACCTGAACCAAAGGCAGAGGCCCAACCGACTGAGCCACCCAGGCATCCCTCATTTTTTAAGTAATCTCCACTCCCGATGTGGAAGGCTTGAACTCATGACCCCAAGTTCAAGAGTCATATGCTCCACCAACTAAGCCAGACAGGCAACCCAGTTTAAAGATAAAGTTATTATCCTTCTATTAAGAAGAAAATAATTTTCTCCTTCAAATGTTCAAAATGTCAAGTTTGTTAGGCATGGATTTGGTATTTCAGGAATATGGGAACAAATGTCTGGGCAAATTTTTCTTTCCTAGTCATATTAAATTACTGGCTGACATTTAATGAATTTTGCCAAGGAGTAAAATAATCAAGAAGTAAAAAGGTACAAAAATTTACCAGATACCCTGACCTTCAAACAGTCAACTACTGAACCTTTATACTTGGGATCCTAACTGAACTTTTATACTTAAGAAGTAAATAACTCACCAAACTTCAGAAGTTAACAACTGGTAACTGCCTTTGATTGAAGCTAAACTGGCCTGTTTATAGCTCACCACCTTAATATCTACAACGAAAAGATTCCATTTTGAAAACCCAAAAGAAATCAAGTAATTTCAAACCTCTCAGGCAAGCTTTTACAAAGTGTTAGCCATTCCTCAAAATACTTAGAAAAAGTTGTATCAACACTTTATGAACTGATTCATGAATTTAAATGAACGACTCTAGAATAGCTGAAGCACAGCTTCCAATGGTATGCGAGTTGAGATCTAGGTCTTACCTGGCCATTAGTAGCTGTGTGACCCTGGACAAGTCACCTCTTGGCAATCATTTAAAGGGGTTAATTAAGACAGTTCATTTATACTTGGAAATTCATGGACTCCTGATTCCCTCAAGCTGTTATGCTTATGCATTTGGGGAGGAAGCTGGTCCAGAGCTTTCATTAAATTCTTATAAGTGGTCCAAAAACAAACTTGCAGTATATTAGGGGATCGCTTCTAAATTGCTCTAGGGTCTAAAGACCGATACTCCTTTTTTGTGGTAGGCAGAACTCTAAGATGGCTCCCAAGATTCCCTGATGCACATGCCCTTTATAATCCCCTTCCCTCAAGTGTCGGCAGGATCTGTGAATATGATAGATATTATAGGTTACAGTACAGGACAAAGGGGAAGGGATTTTGCAGGTGTAATTAAGGTACTAATCAGTTTGGCTTTGAGGTCATCAAAACGGAGATTATCCTAGGTGAGTATGATCAGGTGAGCCCTCAAAAAGAGGTGGTTTAGGGCCTTTTCCAAAGTCAGATTCTCCTGCAGGCCTTGAAGTGGCAAGCTGCCTTGAATTCTACAGCTGCCAAGAAACAGATTCTGCCATATGAGCATGGAAGAGGACCTCGAGCTTCTGAGGCTGTGGCTCTGGCTGAAACCTTGACTGCAGCCTTGTGAGGTCCTGAGCACTGGATCTAGCTAAGCTGTACCTGGGCTCCTGCCTGTGGAAACTGTGAAATAATAAATATATGTTGGTTTAAGCCGTAAGTTTGTGGTAATTTGTTATACAGCAACAGAAGACATATCACTTCTTAAATTACAAAGCTTAGCTTAATTTCTCCTTTTTCTCGAGGGAACTGAGGTGATAGAGAATCCAAACAGGGCGCTCCACAAAGTATATTAATGTTACAATAAAGCCCATCACTTTGCAATGCAATGATACCTTCAAAGAAACAAAGAACCTATGAAATGCAGTCACCAGGTAAGCCTAAACTAAAAGTTAAAAAGTCTTCCAGATCTATTTTTAATGATTAGTCAATAGTTTTAATTATAGGAATGTTATGGTTTTGGTCCAAAGTAATGTGGAAAGTACTAATTCCATCATGACACAAAATAGAAAAAAATATCTTTAAAGATATATTTTAGACTAGGGCTACTCACACATTTGTAATAGAACATTCTTATTTTTATACAACTTGAGAAGAGCTCAATGCTCCAAAAAAGCAGTTTAAGACATGAAAAGCCAAGAACATTAAGCTTATTAAAGGCTTACTATTCCATTTTTCCCCTCCTCACAAATAATGCTCTGTGTTAAAAATGAAGTTTCTTAATCAGTGGAGAATAAAACAAAGAGTTGTGTTTAAATCTGCTAAGTATGGTGAACTGTTAAGTGTGCTGAAACAAATTTCAGACAATGAAAGATCCCTCCAAGCATTCTATTACAAAATCAATGTCCTGTATGAGACCATAGGTAGAAATGAAATATTTAGACCATCAGGTAGCCCTTGTATTCACAGATGTTGCTATCATCCACACTAGGATGTATTATAGGGTTAACTATTTTATAAAATCACTTGGCCTATTATAACCTTACTTTGAGCTAGATCTGTTTACTAAGAAACATGGATTATACAAAATACTGTTATGGTCAACTTCTGTTAATTTAAGCCTTCTGTAAAAAACAAGCTTTGTATGTAATCTGCCACTTGTAGCCATGTGCTGAAGTTATAGTAATATGTAAAATATAGTTCAAGTAGTCTCTCTCAGTCCATTTTGCTAGAAGAATAAAGGAAGGTCAAAATCTTGGGCTGGACAGGGAGAAAGCAGAAGCAAAGACAGTGTCACCTGAACAGACCCAGTGGGTTAGAATATTAGTATGTCTATATTAAAAGTACAGAATTTAAGAAATTTCTTCTGTTACATTGGTTCTAGGTCAAAAGCTTAAGGACAATCTAAAATAAGCCATTGATTCATACTCTAACTTTATGTTTATATTTATATATTAAAATCCAAACAGCACACACACACACCCCATGTAAAACATTGCTTTAAGTTTTAATGTTTATTTCCCCAAGACAGCCTAGCCTGCATTCTACTTGGATAAATTTTACAAGCTAGTTTTCTGCTGCTTCTAGTTTTAACTTTAACCATGTTTCTGATGACAAGGAATGCTGCAAAAATACTCTAGTTCAACAAAGAGTTATGATCACAAAATAATTTTTATCCATTCTACAGTGTTTCAGAATTACCAGTTGATTTTAAACACAAAGTAGATATAGATGCTAATGGTGGCTAATCTGGTATGTTTCTTATAGCAAACTGTTGTTCATGCAACACTTGTGCTCAAAGGGGAAGGCACAGGATTTCCTACAATGAGCCACCTTATAAAGAGTTCTTTTTGTACAAATTAATTTATGTCACATTTAATTTAGTGTGCATAACCTCAAAACTGAGGTATTATTCCAATTTATAAAAACCACTTGCATAACTTTTATGCAAGTTTTAAAAATACAAAGTTTTCTCCCTAAAGTGGCTCAAAATAGATTGTTCATGGCTGCCTACATCTAAGATAAAAAGATTCTAAAACAATTGAACAGATTAGGCATATTATTAAAGGTGTTCAAACCATTACTTGATTTGTACATCTACTCAAACCTCTTCATCGGTCTTTATTCAGCAGTACATATGCACCAAATTCCATTTTAGAAGTTTCCATATCATTTTCATAGAAAACAAAGTTTGAAAACAAGTAACATTTAAACACAGCACGGTATTCTACCACAACTGAAACTTTTTTCTTCTTCTTCTTTACAGGACTCAACAAAATCTAAAAATGAACTATGCTGTAGATTTACCTCATGCAAAGATCTTTATGTTATCTCTGAAAATGAAAAGGATGGCTTTTTAAAGCACATTTTACTGTTTTATACTATTATGGCAACTTGTGTACTGCAACACAGTCTATTTTGAGGGAAATTTATGATTTTTTTCATGCAAAAATCTACACAAATTAGTTCTGATGATATGGAAAGCTTTTCATAGCATCAAACATTCATCTGGTGCAAATGCACAGGGAAACCTTCCTGAAAAGTTTTCTGACTTGAGAAGCAACTAAAAAGCCATACTAGGTAAAGTAAATAAAAACTAAAAAGAAAAAAAAAGGAGGGGGGGTGGGTAAAGGGAAGACGGGGAGTAGAAAACACAGGCTGCAGAGTAAACCAATGTCTGCTGCTAAACCGGTCTTTGTTTTCATGTCCAGTGTACATTAACACTTATGATCTCACTTTGATGATTTACTAGGTTTGTTATCAGCCCCCTGAAGGCGAATCAAGCTTGCATGCGTTCACATACAGCACCACAACCATACTCTCGTACACAGTCACCCCAGGACTAGGAGTCTGCTTCATGAGTGAAGAGCCCTAGATTTGAAAGATGAACCTGACTCCCTATCACTGAGCCAGACATTCATTCATCATTGTCCACTCACACATTGCTTCATAGCAAGGCCTGGGCTCGTTTTCCTTTGACTTATATGGGCATCGTATCCTCTTTTATGCTTACAAGGCTTGAAGATGACAGTACTGCACTTTCCCCTCAATTGATACAGAGTAAGTCAATGTTCCTTCTCAGGCACTGAAGATCTGTGACCTGTAGCCCTTTTTACTTTGAACAACCTAAATAAGCATTCATGTAAAGTTTTCGTTACATTTTGCCACTCATTCTCACTCGCACCCACTCGCCATCTTGACCTCATTTGGGCATTTTCTGTGATTCCAAATGAAATCTTCACATTTTCTTTCCCGATTTAATGCAGCAGCAGATCCCATGAGCCAAGCTTGATGGATCAAACCTTTTTATATATATGTATATATATATATATATCTCAGTGCTGCATTGTACCTAACTTCCACAACATCTTTCTAAAACTGGAACCCTTCTGTTGGTACGTTGGCAGATGAATTGAAACCAAATGTTCCACCTTGTATTGCCTCTGGAACAAGGCTAGGATCTTCATCAATCTAAAGGAAAAAAGAAAAAGTAAGTGATAATTAGTTTTAAAGGTTACATAAATAACATTATAGAAATATTCTCATTTCCATAAAAAAAGTACAAGAGAGATGATGAAAGCCAACATTGTCCTACCATCTCTTTAGAAAGCTGAAACATTTCGTAAAGGCTTTTTCTTTTTAAGATTTTATTTATTTGACAGAGAGAGACACAGCGAGAGAGGGTACACAAGCAGAGGGAGTGGGAGAAGCAGGCTTCCCACAGAGCAGGGAGCCCGATGCGGGGCTCGATCCCAGGACTCTGGGATCATGACCTGAGCCGAAGGCAGACGCT